CAACCGGCAAAGGCAAACGTCCTTGTGGAAATTTCTCGAAAAAAAAATCTTATTAAAACTGGAGATGTAAGGATGTACCCGCCAATTAATCACATCCATACTAACACATTATTTTTCAATTAACATTGTTTTTTTGATCGATTGCTTGCTATGTATTTCATTCTTACTTTTCTACGGTTGCATACGCTAGCTCTTATTTATCTTATTTGCACACAGAACGCGTGGAAAATCTTTTTGTTCGCTTGTTGTTTAAGAAGCGTGTACAATTTTATTTTTTATTTTTTGTATTTACCTTTTACGAGTTTTCTGATTACCTCCATTGCATGCTACATATTTATGTACATATGTACATAGGTACGAGTACATCTCACCGTGAACGCCACGAATTCGTAATCAATTACGTCGCACCTGACGACAGGTGGAGGTGTGCGCCACTTAAAAATTTTCCGTAAAATTTGCCACTCAGGAATGCATGAAAATGAAGGATGACACCTACATGTGACATGCAATGCCTTACACGCAAATACCGCTGTAAAACGCGAGCATTTAGTTTGCTATACTTGCGTTGCATGCAACAATGTGGCACCACGTAAAGTCAAATACAAGCTGAATGCGAACTTAAAATTCATTAATGAGTTCAAGTAAATACATATTGTTACAAACTTACATATAGTTCGTGCACTAATGACCCTAAAAAAATCACCATAAATGCAAAATTCCTCAAAAGCCATATTTAGAAAAAACGAAATTTATTGGCCTTTTTAGAACAGCGCTAAAATTTTTTGAAAAATTAGTATGTATTAGAAGTCCGATTTGGAACATAAGACGATATATTAGATTAAATATTTTTGACCGATAGGTGGCGCTGGGTCGATATATTTTTAGAAGATATATTAGCTGTTTAATGCCGTATATTCTTAACAGAAAAACTTCTCCAACGTATTAATTTCTTTATTTTTTTTGGTTTATATTTTAATTTGTTTATTGCCATGTATTTTTATCGATATTTTTACTTTAACATGTATACCAAAGATACTTCTCCTTAAAAGTAATTAAATTTATGTATATTTAACATTTGTCTTAACCCTGTAAGAGCCCAAACCTTTAGTATATTCATACATACATATGTATGTATGTATGTATGTAGAACCACCAGTCCGTCTGTTATTTGCATGACATTGCTTTAATTGCTTTACCTGTGTGACATTTCTGAATAATTCTAGAATCCTCCAACGTCCTCATTACATCTGATGGGAAAAGCATATTTACACAATGCGAATCCTTCAAGGCAAATAAAAAAAAAAATATTTTTTTTTTTAATTTTCTCTTACGTTCAGCCATTATCCTGCATCTGCATTGCTTTATCCTGCATCTTTCACACTTTTCTCTACCCGCATACCTCCTACTTGTTTGGCGCTGTACGCATACGTTGTGCTTGTGTGTGCGTGTGTGTGTGTATATTTAAATGTACGTATATATGTTTGTGCGCATGTAAATAGTATTAAAGAAGTTGTAAAAATTATACAAGTTGGCGTGTTGAATTACAACAACGCGTAGATATGCTTCAGCTCTTCTTCTCTGTTCACCTATGTATGTATGTACATACATACCTGAGTAAAATCATTCTCTGTTATGAAGATTTTTCAAATGCGTACATATGTATGTATATTTTACATGAAAATTCTTTGTGTACTGGATAAAATCAGATTTTCCATGCTGGAAAATGAAAATTCCATTAGCTTCGTTTGTGGTGGATTATGTTTGGACTTCGTCACCCTTTCTGTGCGTTGATAAGATTTATTATAAATTTCAAAGAAGCATTCAATGGCAAGCTGAAAATGGTCAAGCCAGTGTTTGACTTTAATTTAAAGATCTTTAATTCTTAATATTATTATTATGAGTCGATATTGCATTCCCACATCAGAAGTGATCTCCATCCTTCATCTGTAGCCTTTTAATATGGTTTCGAGCTTTTATTGAATCCATCTAAAACAGGAAAAAGAACTGGAGCTTACTAGCTTCACAACGATTTTGAATTAAATAAATGGCAACCAAGTTACTCTTATCGCCTCTTGAAGCATTTTCCCCAAAATGTAATTTTAGGCTGAACTCTGCTGCAAAAAGGAATGACTGGCAGGTCTTCGGAGCATCCAATTGGACCGTAGTAAATTATACGAGCACAGATAATTCAAGAATATTATGAATATGGCTCATGAGAATCGCCAGTTCATTGTTAACACTTGGAAAACAAATAAGTGTTTCCAGAGAAATTCAGGAAAAGCTTTGGCAAAATTCGTACTTAGACAGGGAACAAACTGGTCACAATGGTAACCGTCAGTTACCACCTAAAGATTTTGCAGTTTGGAAAACCTGCGGAGCATTATTTGGGGTATACATTTAGACAGTTTAGCATTTTTTCGGGATGCCAAAAATATAATTTAATTTAATACATCAATAAGTTCTAAATACAATGCGCTACTTGAGAAGTGCAGAACATTTTTTCTCATAATTTTGTGTATGTGCGGGCGGATGTGCCTTTTACCTGGTTTGGTACAACTTTATTGGGTATGTAGCATACATTTGGGCACTAAGTCTTATAAGTAGGCTTAACATGTATCATCATGTGCATTAGGGTGGTCCAAAAAAAATTGAAGTCGGAATTTGAATGCCCCCATCCCCTAGAATTGTTCTATACCGAAAAAATATACGCCTATGTTTTTTTATCCTGAAATCAAAAAATATTTAGAGAGTGCTCAAAGCGTTCAAAGTTTTCCATGTGTTTTATATGGGAAATAAACAACTTCTCGTAGAAATATGTTTCGATCGGAAAACTCTGGATCTCTTCAGGAATATAATTCCGACTTTGCTTTTTTTTGCACCACCCTTGTGTACATCTTGAGAAAGAGGATCGTACAGAGCGTTTTCTTGTCGAGGCTCTTTTGTGTAGAATTTCGTAGAATTTAATTCTCGTTATCGGATTAAACTGAGCTTATGGAAACCGAGGACAGCAGTTTGTGCTCCATTGGTCTGTATTTATTAGCAATGCTATACTTAGTATAAATACATATTCCTTTCCCGTTTGCTATTTATTATAAACCTTACGAATACATACTTATATTAAAATATGTATGCATTTAAAATTTTTGGTGCAAATTAAGGAAGCAAATATGCATGCAAATACATATGTATATTTCATCATTGCCGAACAACTCAGCAAGTTAAAATTGTCCACATCTGCGCCCTTTGTCAACAAAATTTCGAGATATTAATCTTCTTTGTGAAAATTCATTAGCACAAGCGGCCAATAACGTGGGAAGGCACCGGCTGTTACCCACCTTTCAACAGCTAGCAAATAACTAAATTTATATGTTGTTGGCGTATGTGGTGCTAGCCACCGCGAATGGCATATAAATTTAATTTTAAATGATGTCTTTGTTCGTTTATTTGGCTATAAAACATAAATTGCCCAGAAACGCGCTAATAAATCAGATTATAAAAATGAATTCGATACATACATATGTAAATTTTTGTGAGTGAGGGCATACATACATGCATATGTACGTATATACTTATGTACATATGTATATGTATGTATGTACATCTGTCTATATTTGCATGTAGTATGTACATAGATCAATTGCATTTGATGCCTATGCAAAGATAGACAATTTTAATTGGTGCCAAAGCCACTTAGTTAATTTAAATGGGCGGTTTTCCGGTCTTAATAATCTATTTATTTTGAATTTTCAAACTAAGGTCTTTTTAAAGCTGAAGTGAGAACTATTCAAGGGATAGAATGATGCAAACATTATAAGGTAGACCCGTTCGCTTCCTTCGTCGGCCATGATTTGATTCTGACGTTTGCAAATATTTTAAAATCATATCATCATTGAAAATGAAATTGTTCCAAATTGTTGTTGTTTGAGATTTAAAATGAGAATGTGTTTGCGAGTTTAAGTTCATCGCACAGCCCCCTAAAAACTCTATCAGCTGATTGTCAAAAATGCTTACGGCTGTGATTACCTATTTTTTTGCATTTCCTGTTATCTTTTACAGTTTCTTCCATTTCTCTTATAATTCATTTCAAATAAATCAATTCACTAAATTTAAAAACCCACCTACAGCCTGCCAGAAAGAAACGGTAAGAAGAAGATTTACGTTACTTACACTGTGCAACAATTTCAGGGTCATTGTCTGGGGGCGAAATGATTCCAACTCAGGATGAAAGACCTAGACCCATACAGTAAAACCTTCAAATCTTTTCGTATTGCCAGGTCAAATTTTTACTTTATGGCCATATTAAGTTTGCAATTTTTTGCCTGAGTGTTTCTAGAATAAGTGAAAAAATCTTAAAATCGTATAGAATGATTTTGTAGAACATTTTAACCCATCAGCGCTCTCATGAGTGAGTCGTTTTCACCCCTATTTGAAAAATCTAAATAAAATGGTGTTTGGGAGATCGCTAGAGGGTTAAAATGTTCTAAAAAATTATTCTCCGGAATATTTCACTACGAGATTTCTCAGACAAAATCTTTATACAAAGAACATAAAACTCCACGTAAAACAAAAAACAAATATGTCCCCTTGAAATTTGCAACAAATTTTACGCTTTCTTATTTATTTTGTTCATCAATAGCTCTTTTCGAGAGTGATGGTAATGGACTTGAGTCATTAGTATCGCAATCTGAGTGAAATTTTCTTGAACAGTGTTCTCCCAAATCTCATTTTTAGAAACTTTCTAAAAAAAAGGGGTCAAAAGGACCCTTTCCTGAGAGAGCTAATGTGTTAAAATGTTCTAAAAAATTATTCCAGCGATCTATTCTCCAGCCATTACAACCTAACTGATTCTTGCTTAAATATGTATTTACTTTTTCAAACAAAAATCTAAATATTTTTTTCTAAAATACTTGTTGAAAAAAGCATTCACCGATACATTAATATACAAGAAATAACAGTTGCAATTTTTTAACGATGCATAAATTTTTATCTTTTCGTTGCAGGTATGTAAACGCACCAGTGTGGGTATTCACTAACTACAATCATACAGAATATTTATTCGACAATATAAAGGGGCGTTGATTATCTGTATTTTGGTAAATATAAAACCAAATTTCGAAAAAATACATATCTGCATACATACATATATAAAAATTAATGGGGCGTATTCTTGTTTTTGTACGAATCGAAAATCATGAAATTTTCCTATCATTTTATACAAATTATAAAATTTCAAATATTCGATTCTTAAAAAAAAACAAAAATACGCCTCATGTGCTAGCATTTGGTTTGTCACACAAAAATATAATTAAAAATAACACCTGTTTGTATCCAATTTTACTCATTGCAAAAATAGCACGCTCAGTAGATTAGATTAAATAATTGCCAGCAGAGAAATTGACATTTTGGCAATTGAAGTGGGATAGGGTAAGTCAGTCCAAATTGTGTTTTTAGGTGAGCCCAAGTTCATTTCCGCGCTTGTACACGTAATTAGGCATTGTAAAAGTAGGAGGAGGAGGAGGAACAATCGTCTTGCAATTAGTCCTTTTATAATTAGCATGCGACCTTGACTAAGGAATTGAAGTTTGTCACGTTCTCAGATTAAATTTGTTCCATTTTATATCTACAAACGATATTAAAGAATTTCGCCAAGGTTTTGTGATTTAAATGATTAAATTTCCCTACCACAATTGCTTGCGACTTGACTGGTTTACGAGCAGTTTTTGTTCATTTCACTGATTCAAGCCAATTTAATTCGTCATTTGAACGACAGCTACAATTGTCGTACAAAAGACCTTAAACTGTCTCTGCTGGAATATTCCCACTATTGCAGGGATCACACGATTTGTACATATTTATACACACACTTTGTGGCAGTCACAGAGTGGTGTTGACTAGAAATGTTTACCGCGAATGAGTTCCCTAAGATCAACGCGCTAGTGCCATAAAAAAATAATCAACTTTTTTCCCATCGTACAAGCAACTGAGCTTACATTTACATACATATTTATATGCCTGTATGTATGAATATAATGGTATATAAGTGCTCAGAATTAAATTAATAAATCGTCAAATTTAAACTAATTCAAACACTTAAGAAGTTTTTAGTACTCTAATCAGGCAATCAATTGCAGAGACATAGAGATCACTAAACTGCCGACGCCGACATGTGGCACAATTTTTTTTTTATTAATTTCAAATTAGATATTATTGCTAAAATAGACTTAATTCAAATCATAATTTTTAATGAATTGCCCTTTAGTATGCGCACCAGGGATATGATTTTTTTTAGATTAAAATGCCTGTGGTGGCAAACGATGAACTTTTGTATAAATTTCCAAAAAATAACAACAATTTTGATAAATTATAAAAAAAACTCTCGCGCATAGCGGAATTTATTATCAGTTTCTAACTGGAGAAAATTAATATTCAAACATGTTTTTCTTCTCAAATGTTTTATGGTTTTATTAAAGTAAAATAGATTCGTGGATTTAGTGGTGATACACATCGTTTTTAAATCAGAACTTGGTAGGAAAAAAGGAATTTCGGTCGAATTTTTATACTAGGTATGGGGTTTTGCCATGCAACAGCCTTGTAAATGAAATGAGTGTGCGCGGGAGGTATTTTCACGAACCAACAAAAATATCGCCAAAAAGGTAATATATGGACAAAAGTTCATTAAATGCAAGCACAGGCAAATCAAAATTTAAAAAAAGTGTAAAAAAATCATAACCCTAATGCGCACGTTGAGAGGTAATTTCCCAACTAACCAGCATACAATATTTACTTGGTTGTATGAGTATATCTTTTTACTTATGTCGCTGGTTTGCTGGAAGAATGACACATGTTATTTCAAAAGTAAAATAGGTGAGAAAACCGGTTTTTAAGTTTGCAATCAGTTTTTTTTACCTTCCTTTTATTAACTCGGTATGTAACTATGTAATACTGATGCGCCTAAAAGATGCAGCGATTTCTATTCCCAAGTTACATACCTGATGACAGTACGAATGGCAATTATAATAGGGAGGTTTTAGTTTTTTAAGCTATAATTTTATTTTAAATCTGAGCAGTCGTTTAGCTCTGCCCACCGAGTATTTCGCTTATCCAATGAAGACATCTTCCTGTAATGAAACTGGTAGGATGTCTGCATATGCAGTTAATTAAAGTCGGTCCACTGACAACGAATTTCCACCTGAATAAAAGGGGCCAGAACACCAACTTGAGAAGTGCCTCTGTGGTTGAACAAATTTAAAAAATTATTTAACTAAAAAAATCTTTTTTTAGTTTATGACATTCTTTCAGCAAGCAAGCCATACATACACAATTTATTCAATCGTTCATATGCGGACGTACTATGTTTCCAAAAATAAATCATGTTTCCACCCAATTCTGGCTGTTGGGCATTCACACCGCTGATAACCCAACTAACTGTCTATGCCAAAGCAGCATTGAGTTGTTCGAATTCTGTTTGAGGTCATTATTTGGTGAATTTTTCGTCTGCTGCATAGATAAGACCTTACTATAAAGCTATTTTTAATAATATCAAAGTAGGAAGTGAAATCATACTTGCATAGATCTTATACCCTGCAACAAAAATATGAGCGCAAATTACTCGAAAGCTCCTTTTAATATAACCAAACAGATTTTTGAAATTGTGGGTAAGGTCTAAGCCTAAACAAATGTTGGCGCATTGCGTTATGCTTTATATCGAGTGCTGAGTGGAAGATCGACTTATCTCGGCAGCCAGTTCGAAAACGCCCTATCTCAAAAAACTTTTCAAGAACGCCCTATTTCAGAATTCGTTTCAAAAACGCCCTATCTCAGCTGCCGATTCAAAAACGCCCTATGTCAGCACATTTTCAATACATTTTGAAGTAAGATAGGGCGTTTTTGAACCGAATTCTGAGATAGGGTGTTTTTCAATAAAACTCTGAAATAGGGCGTTCTTGAAAAGTTTTTTGAGATAGGGCGTTTTCGAACTGGCTGTCGAGATAGGTCGATCTTCCACTCAGCAGTCGATATGTTCTTCTCGCTATCAAACATTTTTGTATAACACTTTCTGAAATCGTTTAAAAAATAATTTTCAAATTCAACTTGCCTAAGTCGACAACTCTTCGAAGTCTGTATGAAGATAATATCTTCAAGAATTGCTTGTCAGGAATCCCCAGCGACTGATAGTAGTACAGGAAATAATGAATATTTGTAAGATAATGGCATTCCTTTAATAAAAAATAAAATAAAAAATATTAAAGAAACAAAAGAAAATTAGGAAAAATTTGTTAAAATATCGTCTCCCTATTTGATCACTATATATGTATTTAGAAATGTTGTGACCAGCACTTTTCAAAAAATTATAAATTAAATAATTAAATATTAAAAAATTTAATTTATTTTTGAAGCCCAAGCAAAATTTTGGTAAATTTTACTATTTTAAAAGATATTATTTTCTAAAAATTTCGCTAATTTGCAGTTGCCAGAAAAAATTTAATTTGAATTTAAAATTCGGCATTCAAAACACCGGTAATCGGTACAAAAATATTTCGTTTTCTTATTTTTCAGTAGAGTTTTATCAGGTAGCGGACCAAAAAATGTCAAAATTAGTTTTCAAAAAAAAAAACGGTTTTTATAATAAGTAACCTGTAACCGGTGCAAAAAAATAGACAACACCTCAATAGACATTAAGAAATTAACTTCTATGAAATTTCAGTCAGTTTTTCTTCTTTCTTGAATTCTATTGAGAAAATTTAAATTTGTGGAAACGGCCGAATTTTCGGAAACCACCCAGTGCTGCAATATTTCTTCCCCCAAAACCTTTTCTAAATAACAACTCTTCCGAATAAAAAATTACCAAAATCCCTTCGGTTGTTTTCGTGGAAAATTTTTTTAATGAATGATGTCAATTTTTTATATTCTACATTACAATTATCATAAATGGAACAGAAACACTTATTCTTGAAAACTATATACGGAATAATTTTAATCGTTCAATGAAACGAATGTTTAGGTATTTATATCGACTTGGATCTCTCTAAATATTGTTATCAATATATAAGGCACCGTTTTGACAAAAAAAAATAGTTTTGAGGTTAACGCTCTATGCTACTTTGACTGCTTTTTTTTTGCTAATAATAATGACTTTCATGCAGATATTTTTATATAATTTTAAAGCTTATATAGTTTAGATAATAGGTGCAAAGTTCGGGACGCCTAGCCTCTGTCTGGTCCTGCCCATGGATCTGTGGCAATAAGGAATAACTAAAGGCTGACTTTAGTATAATGTTTCAATTGCAGCGTAGGCAAATATCCCCATCAAATTTTACCAAAAATCTTCCTTAGTTTGGGTAATAAAAATAATGGTATTTATGTATGCATTTGTATTTTGTACTTAAATACATTTTTAGACAAGTATTTTGTATTTCTCGGCCTAGGCGGTTACAGCGCCAAAAAATAAGAAGATTTTGTATTTTGTATTTATAAATAATTTTTTGTGATGTATTTGTATTTTGTATTTAAGTATAACTTTACGAGTATTTTTAACATTTCTGGATGTAAATATTGATGGACTACGCTTGCATGCACAATTTTCCCTAAGTGGCGGCGTATCTCAATTTTGCAAATCACCCAGTTATTGGCTTTTGTGCCACGTGTACTACATACATACATACATACATGCATAATAGTCCTAATAGCGCCTTGAGACAGCACACAGCAGCACACTCTATAAAAAAAGCCTACACAACATCAAAACAACTTTTCAATTGGGTTGGTTCACTTTTGTTGTATTTATGTAACTAAAATGACGCGTCATAATGTAAGCTGACAAGTTGCGCACACGCTTAAAAATAAAAGGGGTCCTAAGAGGCGAAAGCGGCGGGAATGTTAACCAACGTATAAACATATCTGCATACATACATACTGACGTACGAGGAGTTCATAAATCTAAGTACTTTAGCGCAAAATTGTTGCACAAATGGGGCAATTTTTGCATGTAAATTTATCTATAATTTTTGAAAATCAAATGTGTGTTCGGGTTTATTTAAATCTTGCCCATTTTTTTACTTTTTAAGCATCATCCAAGGCAT